TTTCACATCAGCATATTGGCTACTGGGATGTTGTATTTTTAGAGCTGAGTGAAACACAGTGACACATATGTGCTCAATCACTAAGACTAAGGCTGCGTCTGCATGTAAACAGGTATTTTGGTAGGCTTAGCTTTTTCTATGCGTTTTTTCAACTATTTCTCCAGGCTAAATGATGATCCTCTAAATTTGTGACACGCCATTTCCTCTCCAGCTTATGAGTTATCTGCTTTAGGCTATGTGTTTGAGAATTATACCACGGAGTCAGATACTTCTGATTTGAGGCCTTAGTTTTCACAGGAGCTACAGTATCCAGAGTCATACGTAGTGAGGAGGTAAAATTGGGCAGAAATCACTTGGATGATTGAGGAAACATTTTTCCCACTGAAAACGCTACATCCAGATGAACAGAATCTAGTGGTGTGCGATACTGCTGATTTTGGTATCGACCCGATACCAAGTAAATACCGGCAAATATCAACGATACCGATACTTTTCAACAAATAAGGTGCATGCCTCATTGATTTGCTAAGTCTCAATTAATTTTCATGACCTTAAGTGTTTTGTATGTTTCCTTTTTTATTAATAAATAGTTAAAACTAGGAATTTAATTAGGACAAAGTTTATAATTAAATAGAAATTGCTTTATTATCTTTTTTTTTCTTTTTAGAAACATCTTAAATAAAAAGTGCAGCAAACCAATAAGCAAATTAGATCAAGCGAGTACTGTTGAGAAACTATAATACAAAAATTACAGATAAAAAGTTCTCAACAACAAAAACAATAACTGGAGAAAATATAAATAATATGTAAACAACTTAACAACCCCAAAAGCATCTAAGTCACTTCACGTGACGGTGCAACACAAAAGGAGGGAGGGGGAGCAAAGTGTGCCTGCTCTGCGCTGACACAGGAGCGGCGCGTCCAGCGACCTGGATGGGAGAGTAGAAGAAGACAGCAAGTTAAAAGCAAGACAAAAGAAAACAAATCATCAAAGTAAATCAAGGAAGAACCAAAACAGTTGTGCTGCCATTCGTTGCTGATGCTGAATGGCAGCACAAACCAGTAGCAGCTTCTTGTGTCAGCATTACCATGAATCAAAGCAGACACATCCCCAACTTTAAACCATTAAAAAAACACTTCAGAGTTTAAATTTTTTGCTATTTTGCATTATAACATGTGACTGACCTTTGAGACAACCTCAAGGAACTGCAGCCTTCAGCTGTTGGCTTTGTTTTTCAACCCTGGAGGTTCCTGCTTCATATCCAGTCATCATACCCCTGCCCAAACCAGAGCATTTACAGTAATGAGAATTCATAAGGTGGACAAACTCCTGTTGTAAGCTACATGTGAGACAAGGCAGACCACACCAGTTGCTCAAAGTACATGTACAAAAATAGTTTAAGAGTTAGATGAGGCAAAATGCAAAAGTTTTATATTTGACAAGCTCCCAGCAGCCATCACAAATACACAATTTTTAAAAAGCATGACTTGCAATATTTGTTTTTAAGTCCAACTAAAGGAAAATGTGGAGATTTGCCCTTGGAACGGCGATGGATCTTCATCCTGGAATACTGATCTAATCACTGTGCACATTTATCTGCTCCAGCCAGTTTGTTTACCCGTGCGAGTCTGATTTTTCGGAAACTCGGCAGATAAATGGTGGCAAAGGTGGATTACCCCACGGGCTGTTATGACGACGGTCACAAATCATTTCAGTTTGATGGTTGGCTGGAACCACATCCCCAAACAAGGAACAAAATCAAATTGATGATGAGACACTTCGGATGGAACCGGAGACAGAGAGGCGTCTCAGGAACGTACCTCAGGAAACTGGTAGTCCGCTACTCACTGCAACCAACCGAAGACGGAAATTTTCCTACACAGTATGGAGGCTGTTGTGTTAGACGTGGACCCACATATGTTCATGGAATAGAGTAGCTGCAGATTTGGATCTAAAACATAGATGCTTGGCTTTAATAAACACTGCTGCCCGAAAAA